CTTAAATTATATATTTGTTTTCATTGACCCTTAGACATGTGTCCTTCCATTTCTGTAAGTACACATTGTCTTTGTTTTCAATGTCTATTGCTTTAGACTGCTCATTTTATCAATTTTTTTTATATCCTACTTAGCCCCTGTACATCAGATGACAGTGATTAGTTTTCACTTGATAAAGGTTTTCTTCCATTAACTATACATTTTAACAACCATGTTGTTATTTCTTCCGTAGGTACTTCATACTCAGCCAACAATTTCTTATTGCTAGTCCTGGGCTCAAGGCCATCTTGTCTGCTATTTTGTATTCTTTACCTCCTTTAAAATTCATGTTAAAAATCTGCATTGGATTTCACTTCATTGCTTATGCTGTGATTCACACTTTACCAATTTGACTCTCGTCAGTAGGATGAGTGTTTGTCAGCAGTAGGCTTATACACAAGGGCAGAGTTTTCTCAGTCTAATCTATCTCTCCAGAATACCTCCTCTGCATGTTATGGCTTCGGTTTTCATACTAGAAGATCAAAGAGTATGCTGTATTTCAGTATGTTTAGAAAAATCATTCTGTAAGCTCCCTTGGTAAGCAGTATATAATATAGCACATTAAATTACTGCTAGCTATCTAGTCTGATGCTGAAGAAATCTAAAAAAAAAAGTTTAAATCTTCCCTTTGTAGTGAGGGAGAATAACTGATTTATTACTGCCTGCAGTTAGTGATGCATGTGACTACATGTGAGATTATTTTAGGTAGTATCTGTGTTTTTCCAAAGAGACTGAATCTAATTATATGCATTCTAAATTCATTTTTCACACTTAGTCTGTAACTTGACAGGCCACTCACATTCATCATTATGAAGAAAAAGCGTAGGGTGTGTGTGTGCATGCGTGCGCACACGCGTGTACACAACCAAGTACTACAGAAAAAAATTTTACATATGCTCTGTTATCTCTTATGTGTGTATGTTTTAAGATTTGTTGTTTATTTATTTATTTTGAAAGGGATAGAAAAAGAGGTTTTATATTTGCTCATTCATTTCCCAAATGAACAAAATGACCAGTGTTGGGTCAGGCTGAAGCTAGGAGCTTCATCAAAATCTGCATAGTGACATGGGGCCTGACCCTTGGGCTATCTTCTGCTTTTCCCAATTAGCATGGAGCTGGATTGGAAGTGGAGCAGTCAGTATACATCCTATGCCCACATGGGATACCAGTGTCTCAAGTAGTGGCTTCACCCACTATGTTACAACTAGTCCATTACTGCAGCTCTTTTTTTTTTTTTTGAAGGTAACTTGCATACATCTTTGCCCGATTACGGATATTCCTGGTTCACGCTAAAACAAGAACATGACAGATTTAGTATGGGGTCAAGCAGGTCTGGTATTTAACTGATCTTTCCTTCTGTATCATTTGTGATATGGCATTCATCAATTGATCATGTGTAAATAGAAGCTTTCCATAATCTAAGAGGAGAAACCATGTACTTGAAGAGTGTGGAGAGTGTGTTTTCATGAAGCAGTTCTTTTTTTTTTTTTTCATGAAGCAGTTATTTTTTCTTTTTTTTTTATTTTAAAGTTATACCTTCTAAAGATTTTTTTTATTATTATTAGAAAGGTGGATATACAGAAAGGAGGAGAGACAGGAAGATCTTCCATCCGATGATTCACTCCCCAAGCGGCCACAGCGGCCGGAGCTAAGCCAATCTGAAGCCAGGACACAGGAGCTCTTCCGGGTCTCCCATGCGGGTGCAGGGTCCCAAGGCTTTGTGCCATCCTCGACTGCTTTCCCAGGCCACAAGCAGGGAGCTGGATGAGAAGCGGGGCAGCTGGGATCAGAACTGTGCCCATATGGGATCCCGGCACATGCAAGGCAAGGTTTTAACCACTACGCTATAGTGCCGAGCCCAAGTTACAGCTTTTAAGTGAGAGTACTTTTTAGCTTTTAAGTGAGAGTACTTTAAAAAGCACTCTCACTTAACCTTTTCTTGTTGTCATAGTGGGCCTTTATTTCTGATTGTATAAAGTAACTTTGTTAATGACATCCACTTTCTGTGTGTTAAAGTGTTCTTGACTAAGCTCTTAAATTTTATCTCTGTGAGTTGTAAAATATGTTTGCCTTTACAAAGTCCTTAGATGTATGGTGGTGGTTTTCTAAAAATAGCACATAGTATATGATTGTTTTGTTTATTCATTTTTTAGTTTGGGAGTTCAGGTTTAAGACCCAGAGTATTGATTTTTCAACTCAGATTTCTATTTTTCACTCTCATAACAGCCTATGTTGTGAGGAAAGGGTGCTGTTGGTATAAGCGTATTTTAGGGAATGGCATTTAGAAGTATCAAGTATAATGTATGAAATCTTTTTGAAATACTGAGATTGTCCATTCTAAATGTAAACAGTGACTTGTGTCACTCTGTTGTAACTCAGAAGGCTGAAATGCAGTTGATTGCATTATACCTTGGCTGGAATGAGACTCTTGCCAGAGGAAAGTTAACAGTGTTGGGCCTGCACATGAAAGGAATCTGAAAATACAAACTTGTCTGTGTTTATCCAGCACTGAGAGACTCGATCTGGCAGTTAGGAGTAGCAGTGTTTACAAAAACATTTGTTGTGCTTCACTCTTTACCTTAATCCACTAGACTGTCTAGCTTTTGTCTAGATCATTAGTGACCTTGTGTCTGAACTCAGAAAATGCTTCTGACCCTCAGTGGTATAACCTTCTCTGCTGCCTCAGAGTTGACACCTTCCTCTTCCCTCTTTTCCCTATTTTACTCTTTCTTCTAGAATTGTTTGTGTTCATTCAATACATTTGAAAAACTGATATTGTACCATGTTTCTACTTTTATTTTAAATGAAATCAGATTAATAGGGAGGAAGAGATAGAGAACCTTCCATTTAAAGAGCTACACAGTTCACACTGGTCAGGCTCAGGTCAGGAGTGTAGAACTCCATTTGGGTGTACCATGTGGGTGACAGGGTCCAAGCACTTGGACTGTCATCTCTTTTCGAACATGTGTTAGTCAGCAGCTGTATTGGAGGCAGAGTAGCTGGACCTGGAACCAACACTCAATATGAGATACTAGCATCCTAGACAGCCTGAACGACGTACAACACCAGCACCATGGTGTTTGTCCGTTTATATCCTGTGTAACACATTGCATTTCGGCATTAATGATACTCTCTGTATAATAAAAAATTGTCAAGTGCCAGCACATAGCAGTCCTACCAGGTACAAGGCTGAGAGATGGGCACTGAAAGAACTAATTAGAAATAGGAAGAATTAGGAGAAAATAACACAAGATAAAGAAACAGAGGTGACCAGGATTGACTCTTGACACATGAACCTGGCTCAAGACCCCAGTGCAACTTGCTGAGTCTGTTTTTATTCTGTGTGTATAAATCAAACATGACATAAATCTGAGGGTCTGAGATTACTTGCAAGTTGCAACAATCTTTAGCAAGCACATTTGTTAATTAATTGTTTCAGCTGCTATCCTTCTAGGTACTAAGTGGTCTACCCCTAAGTAACATAGGCTGCTGATCCGCATTCTCCGTGGTCTTTATGGCAGCAGGCCTACATGCCAGTATTCCAAACATATATATTCCTGCCCATGACAGGGAGGCATGCCTCCAAGCTGATCTGGTTCCTTTAAACAGGCATAAGAGAATTAAGGACCTCGTGTCCGTCATTAGGGTGAGATCACCTACCAGACAAACTGCAGCCTCATTTCAAATCAGGTCTTCGTGAAACCTGAACCAAGCTGGGAATAAAGCTAAAACTGTCTAGAAAAGATTATGGGAGAAATGCTGATTTTGAAAACATGCAATTGTATAAAACATGAAAGTAAGGAAGTAGAATAGTGGACACAAGTCCAATTGATTGATTGATTCATTAATTGAAAAATCAGGTGTACAGAGAGAAGGAAATACAGAGAGAAAGATCTTTATCTGCTCTTTCACTCCCCAAGTAACCACAGTGGCTGGTGCTGATCTGATCTGAAGCCAGAAGCTTCTTCCAGTTCTCCCACATGGGTGCAGGGTCCCAAGACTTGAGCTATCCTCAACTGCTGTGCCAGGTCACAAGCAGGGACCTGAATGGAAAGTGCAGCAGCTGGGATACTAATTGGCACCCATATGGGATCCCTGCACATGCAAGGCAAGGACTTTAGCCTCTAGGCTATGGCTGTGGGCCCTAGTCCTGTATTTTTAACTGCTTAGTTATTATTATAAGGCAGAGTATAGACAGTTCTTAATGTTACTGAAATAAATGAGAATAGCCATGATTGGGAGTTGTTCCTCTCTGTTCTTACCTGTCAAATAACAGTGTCCTACTTTAATCTCCTGAGCGTCTTCCAGTATAGCAGTTGTGACTTGGGAATGACTGCATCCTCAGAAGCTGCGTCGGATGCTTCTCTCAACCACACCAGTTTGTTCTGCAGTGGCTGTGATTTTTATGTATTATGCCATACCTACATATTAAAATTAATCTTTGAAACAATCTGTTCATTGCTTTATTGAATTGCTCATCTTGTGATATAATTTTCCTTCTAGTAGATCCAAATGCCCATTCTGTGAGTTTAATCGAATGTGTTTTCTTATACAGATCATAGAGCCTATAGTAGCTATCGTTTTATTTTTATTTGCATTTTAAAGCATCTCATTCACAGTAATTAATGATTATGAAGCTTACTTTAAAATCTGAGTGTGAATACAAAAGAATCAGTTGCTAAACAGTTTACATGTAACAATGTATATAATTAAAAATGTACCCTGTAATCATCTTAATGTCAAATTGAAATTTTACATCTTTTTTCCATTTGAATTCAGCAGCTTTTGAGGTTAGTTCCTTTTGTACAGTGTGAATTCTGAGCCGTGTTTGGGTTTTTGTTCTGTTTTGTTTAAAATTGTTTTTGAAACATTGACATGATTGTTCCACTAGTGCATCGATTTAGTTAAGAATCAGGTCACACATTTTATTTACTTAAACCCATCTGCACTTACTTTACTAGGAACATATTTGGTCTACGGCCTGTGGATTGCGCAGACAATGAGAATGTGAAATCACTGTTACTGCTCACAGAGAAGAACGAATCATCCTCAACTAGACATGACTCAGTAGTAAGTATAGAATTAACTTTGGGATATTATAACCTTTTATTGAAATGCATTATGAAAGGAACGTAATGGGAAAATTTCTAGTTAACAGGTTGCTTTTCATTCACCAAACAATTATTGAGCATTTCCTGTATTAGCTGCTATGGATTTCCAGATATGTTCAGGGAAAGACAGTCAAGCAGTTTATATTGAGCTGCTTCTCGCTTTAGGCACATCCACAGCAATGCATGTGACTGACAGGATTCTTATTGCCAAGGAGCTGACCTTCTAGTGGGAAAGAGACAGGCTGCACATGTGTAAACTACAGTAATTTACACTGATTTCAGGGATTTAGAAAAGAGTACTTTGTAGAAGTTTTTTGTTTGTTTTTTCTCACAGTGTGCCTGGATGGAGTAGTGTGCTACTGAAACATTCTGCCTTAGTTCATTCTGGTGTACCATTAAATAACTCAATTAAACCCTAGATGCTGAAGGGGAGCTACCAGTTGACTTTCTAAAGACACAGGTGCATAGGCCTATCAGTGAATGAGCATATTTGAAGTTTTAGTTCCCTAAGTACTGGGGGACCATTGAAAAGATTTTAAGCAGGGAAATGATGTGCTTCATTTTTTCCCCACTCTTTCTGGTTTGTTAAAGGAGGAATGTGAGGTTGGGAGCAGGACGACAGATTACTTAGGTATTTAGTATGACAGCTGAGGAATGCCACAGTGATGTGGTTTAAGATAGAACATCAGAGATGATCACAGACGATGAGGTTTTGACAATATCAGTGAGACCTGCTGATGGCTTATGTCAGTGTGAGGATAGGGTAGAAGAATCACTGTGACCACAGCAGTGCAGAAGGTAATGGTGCCATTTGCTGCCAAGTGCAAGACAAGAGTGCTTCTGCATGCCAATTTCATGTCTAAAATATCAAGTAGTGAAGTTTCAGTAGATAACTGGGTATGTAAATCTGTATCTGAGAAGAGTTGTACATGCTAAAAGAAAACACAAACAATATGCTTTAGGGATCCATAGTTCAACAGAAAATACAGATGTAGTAATTTTTATACACATTTTATTATGTTCTTAATGGGAGCAGTATACCAGAATCGTAGAGGAGGAAGAAGTCGACTTCAGGTGAGGATCAGGGAGAATTTACTTGACAAAGCGTTGGAAATAACTGAGTCTTTAAAGGTAAAAGTTTTAGCAGGTTGTCTGTTACAACACTGTGGCTGCTACTGACCAGTGCTTTAAGACAAACAGCTTATTAATTTCAATAATTTTCAATTTCAAATAAATTATATATGCAAATATAATTTTATACATATAGTCAGTTAAAAAAGAGTCTAGAAGCTAGCAATTTAATTTCCTCATTTTACAGTAAAACTAAGATTCAGAGAGGAATTTGCCCAGAACAATTAACTAGGAATAATGTATTTAAAGTACTCAGATTTCTTAAATCTTAGGACCATCTTCCTTTAGTTCCACCATGCTTATTTGTTCTTGAGCTCTTCTGCCAGAACATAACTGTTATCCTACCATATTCCTTTTGTGTTAAAAGGTGGAAAAAGATTATTTTAAATATGCTAAAATAGAGGTATCATTATAGTATTCTTGGAGTTTGAGAATGAAAGTTTCCTTCAGAAAAGAAAGATTTTTGTTCAGTGGAAAAACTTATACTTTATGATTGTTATATGGATTGTTATGATTACTTAAAGCTGTGTTGATGGTTGATACCTAAGGAAAATACAATGAATGATATCCAATCCTTGTAATTTGAAAGTCTAGTTGCCTAAATGTAAATCCTGAGATCCCAGCCAGAAGCCCACTACATTTCCTGTTTTTCTGCTACCTGGGATTGTGATACTGCAGCTCCATGCTCTCATTTCAGGTCCTTAGCAGCAGCTGTCTTCTCTGCTAGTATAAATGTGAGGCCCCGGAGTGGTTCAGATGTGTCAGTGCTGCTTCACACTTTCCTCTGCTGTCCCAGTCAGCATCTGGGCACTATGTGTTCTACTGTTATTTCCCTCCCAACTAGAACACTGACTCCGTGAGGTCAGGGACTGCACTACTCTTGGTGTCAGGAGAGTTTGCTCCAAAAGTGTATGCTGAGTGCAAGAGAGAAAGGAGTATTCCGCATGGGACATACTTGCCCTTGAAAACATACATAAGTCTTGGTAGCTGAGTCTAGAACCCCAAAGCAGGGATTCCCAAGCCCTTCAGAGAAGCTGCATTAGGGAACTTCCAACAGGAAAGGAGTGATAAAGTGAGGCTTAATTCCTTTTACTTCCATCTAGAATTTTTGTTTGTTTGAAGTAAACATTACAGGCTGTCAGAAAACATTACTTTGAATTTGAGATTCAACCTCTAATCTTAAGGACTTCACAAGCTGCTTGCCATGCTCATTTTGTTGATTCTTTGTTTACGATCCCTTTTGAGCAGTGTGTTTACCCATTTAATCTCAGATTTTTTTTTAAATCTTACTTTTGATAAACTCATTAATAAGGAGTAACTAAAAGTTTTACCTAAGAAAAAGCACTATACCAAATTATTTTTTAAGTCAGGGTTTGTTTAATACCAATAAACATTATCTAATCTCTGTAAAATTAGGTCATTAACTCTTGGTTTTTGAATCTCTTGAGCTTTGCACTTCTAAAACCTCTGCTCATTCAAATCCAAAGCCTAACCCCCCCGCTGCCTTGCCCCAGCAAACATGTGGCTTTGGCAGCTGCTTGCTTTCTGTTTGGTTATAGCATCCCTTATCTATGAGAAATCAGTGCCAGTTCCTTTTGTAATGCAGCTTTTAAAACTATGCTAGGAAAATGCTTGACCCACTTCCGTGCTTTCCTTTTATTGTGGACATAGTATCATGTGCTATATTTAAAATGTTTCATTTTGGATTCTGTGCAGAGAACTAATATAGCTGAGGTAGAGTTAAATAAATTAAGAAGTAATATGTTCTTTTTAGAGCTGTTTTTGTGACACTGATTTGTGTAATGGAATAGAATTTTGGCAATAGTGTTTTAATATCATATGGTAATTGAGTAGGCATACACTCGATCTATTTTTATGTTATGACGCGTTTTTAGGTTAGGTATGGTTATATCATCTAATGGCATAGTAAATATCCTTATACAAAAATGTTAGTGTAAATGTTGGTGAGTGTATATCATATGTATTGCATGTTGCTTCATGGACCTTATAGGAGGAAGTGATTCCAACAGCTGAAATTGGAAGTACTGAGTATTCTCATTAAAGCACAACATCTCCAGAATGTTTTTGTTTCTTTGTTTTAAGAAATCTCCTGTATCACTTGCTTAAAACATAGCAGACTCTAATATGTTTTGGGTGAGAGAATTACTTTGATCAGGCTGTTCATAGTTTTAGCATCAATGTAGGCCTTAGACTCATCACTGCTCTGATGAGTGTTAAACTGTGCTGGTAGGCATTCTTTTCCTTGTATTTTTTGGAGCTTGTGATAATCCAGATAGATGTCTAGTGTATCTGTGAACACATACACATGTGAAGGCATTATGGTGTGTGCTTAAAACTTGAAAGTGCTGTCAATGCTTTTAATCCTTTGATATGGTCGGTCGTGCCGATTTGCCATTTTGTAATGCTCCAGGAAAGAAGAAACAAAATCAGATAACTTTAGATTAACTTCTGTTCTGATTCCATCTATTAAATTTCTGCTGTTGCTGTTGCATCATATTACTGTTTCTTTGAATCATGGACTTCTAATCTTTAATGCCTATCATTGGGGCCTTCCCTTTACGTTTTGTTTCTGTCTCCTTTAAGTCCCAAGTCTAGATAATAAAGGGAAAGCATTAGTCTGAGAGAGCATTGATTTCCTTCCCATGAGCTGTAAGGACTTCTTAATGGTTTTGTGTATGATCTTCTTTTTGAATTCTTCAATTTTCAACTTTCTTGGCTTTGAGAGTTTGATATTTTGGTGATATTAAAAAGTTGTTCTCTGAGTCAACACTGTTCTAAGAGCCCTGGCGCTCCTTATTTTTCACATAGTTTAAACCACACAGACCAAGTATGAATTTAAATATTGGAATAAGTTAACGGAGGAAGATATAGGGAATTGATCTTTTTTTTTTAAATTTTTTTTTGAAAGGCCATATTCTTTTTTTTTTTAAGATTTATTTTTATTTTATTTTATTTTTTTTTTTTGGAAAGGCAGATATACAGAGAGGAGAGACAGAGAGAAAGATCTTCCATCCAATGATTCACTCCCCAAGTGAGCGCAACGGCCCATGCTATGCCGCTCCGAAGCCAGGAGCCTCTTCTGGGTCTCCCACACGGGTGCAGGGTCCCGGGCCACAGGCAGGGAGCTGGAAGGGAATCGGGGCTGCTGGGATAGAACAGGCACCCATATGGGATCCCGTGCTGGGCCCGAAAGGCCATATTCTTAAACAGTGGAAAATGCAGTGGTCTACCATCTGCTGGTTGATACCCCAGATGGTTGCAATGGCCAGAGCTGAGCTGATCCGAAACTGGGGGCCAGGAGTTTCTTTCTGTACTCCCATGTGGACATAGGGGCCCAAGGACTTAGGTTACCCTCCACTGTTTTCCCAGTTCATAAATAGAGAACTGGATCAGAAATGAAGCAACCAGTACTTGAACCAGTTCCCATAAGGGATGCTGGTGCTTGCAGGCAAGAAAATTAGCATTGCTATGCTACTGTGTTGTCCTCTGAATTGATCATTTTTTTTTTTTAAGATTTTCTTATTTTTATTGGAAAGGCAGATGTACAGAGAGGAGAAGAGACAAGAGAGGAAGATCTTCCATCTGATGATTCACTCCCCAAGTGGCCGCAACAGACAGAGCTGAGCCAATCCAAAGCTAGGAGCCTCTTCTGGGTTTCCCCCGTGGTTGCAGGTTCCCAAAGCTTTGGGCCGTCTCTACTACTTTCCCAGGCCACGAGCAGGGAGCTGAATGTGAAGCCCATATGAATTCCCAGCATGTTCAAGGCGAGGACTTTGACCTCTACACTATCACTCTGCGCCTTGAATTGATAATTTAAATGAGTATCTTGAGTTGTTTTGGAAGAAGAAACAGCTTATTGGTCACAATAAAGTTGTGAAACCCTAACGAGACATAATCAAGGAAACGGTGGAGACCAATATTGGAATATTGGAATATTCTAAGTTGGAAAATTATTTTCCAAAAATTGTTGAGTACCCAGATTCTGAGTACAGATTTAGTAGGAAGTGTTGAAAATTAAAGTAACTCAAGAAATGAAGTTCACCTTTGTATCAAATAAAAGTAATGTTTAATATCTTTCTCTAGAATGTTTTTTGTTTGTTTTTGTTTTTTGTTTTTTGGCACTTCGATGGATCTTCCCTAAGCAGTCAGGGCTAGGATTTAGTTTCTAGGCACTGAGAGAAAACCTTTTGACTCCGACTCCTTGAATTGTACCAGTGGAAGTTGGCACTCGGTGGAAAAGAGGAAAAAATAAGTGATTTTAACACTACGACATCTCCATTTCGTTCACAGATGAACACTGGGCAGCGGAGGGATAGACCGCTGGTACTGATAGGCAGTGGGCTTTCTTCAGAACAACAAAAAATGCTTGATGAGCTCGTAACAATTCTTAAAGCCAAAAAATGTGCTGAATTTGACAGTACAGGTAAAGATTTTGAAATTTTTGTAGAAAAACAGTTGAAGTAGATACAGATTCACTTTGATGATTTATATGTTTATTGATATATGGCTGCATATTTTGCATGTTGCAATAAAATGTTTTTACAGCAATTAACTACTTAATAGTCTTGATGCAGTTAAAATGTAAAATTTATAGCATTACTCAAATTTTTGGAACTAATTTATGACTTTGTTAGTGACAAATTGCAATAGAATGTCATAATTTCCTTAGTTATAATTTGAAAATAAAAGTTGATAATATGACCTTTAGAAATGTGCTTTATTATTTGATATTTCTTGTTGACAGCGCTTTAGAGAATGTTACTATACACCTAATAGTAATGGTGAAAAATATTACCTTTGAAGAAAGTTCAAGTTTAAAAACTGTGGACTGACTGGTTATAATAGGCCAGACTAATTAAAGAATCATTCTTTTCCTTACTCCAGTAACTCATGTCATTGTTCCTGATGGTGCAGTTCAAAGTACTCTGAAATGTATGCTTGGAATTCTCAATGGATGCTGGATCCTGAAATTTGACTGTACGTATTGGATTTGAAGAATTGCATAATTAGTTAACCAAGTTAGTTTCTTCATTTTTTCATGATGCACTACTCCCTGTTATTGAAGGATTTAGGTTTGTTTTGCTTAAACTTGTTAGTCACTGCATTGTAATGAAGTATGTCATATTAATGGTAACATATTGATGTTTTGTGTAAACATCCACACACAACAAATCTATTGAATGAAAGCAGTTCATTCTTTTCTCTTTAAAACTATAAACTGCTTACAAAGCACCCTATTGCTATTGTACCTAATTCAATAAGTGTTAGGAAGTGATTGGGAAATTCAGACTGTTGTAGTGCTACTGCCTTGTTTGTGCTGAGTATACCACCTGTTATCTCAACCTCTGCTGGAAATGTATCCCTCTTTATTCTAAGGGGTACTCAAGCACTACCGCCTTAACAATTGTCCTTTAGCTTCCTTTTTGTCACTTTGTTAAGAAGAGTGATCTTTTTAACAAAATTAATTTGTGACTTTTAATAGAAAGACTCATTTACTGTTGTTATGTAGTGTTGTTTTGTTGATACTGTTCTGTAGTTTGGAAAGATGTTCATATTCATCGCTTGTGAAAAGCTTTATGAGACTCCTCTGCATTTCTTTGTAGGGGTGTGTGTGTGTGTGTGTGTGTGTGTGTGTGATGTTCACATAGGTGATCAGTGTTGAGACCTTTGTTTCCAAATCTTCCCCTCTTTTTTCTGTTATCTGGGAGAAGGGGATAGATTAAGGAAGAAGCAGCACCCAGCCATCCTACCACCACACCCACCCCAGTGCCTGGGAATGGGGAACAGCCACCCTTTGCCATCCCAGAGTCTCCAATGTGGAGCATGCTCTGAGGGTTCTGCTCAAGTGGTTCTGATAGTTGTGAAATGCTGTTGATCTCACCAATCCAATGATGAGGAAGTCTTTCCAAGGTCCATCTGCTGACGCAGCCCACCCCAGAGTCACCATTAGCCCAGACATTTACTCTTAACACTTGGCTGCGGTACTTTGCCAATTTCTTCTGCTCTCTTTCCTCTACGTTGGTACAGGATGTCCTCTGCAGGCCTCAGTGGGCTGCCATATCACCATAAGCATCTGGACATGCTATCTACTCCTCCGTGTTAGACACTTAGGAGTTCAGTTCTGACACATGCAATCCATGATCAGACCACAGGTCCTATGATTTTCCCCGTGGTTGGAGTTCTGAGTCCAGTAGTTAGTAGGGAGGATCCCCAGAGAAACCTCATCTGAGGCAATCCCTACATGACTCTTGCGTGTGAATTCCAGTATAGGGTCTGGCTCTATCCATTCCCCCACATCAGCCAACATACACATTGATAGTTGTAATTTCTGGGTCAGTTCTGTCTCCAACCCCTTCTCTTATGTAAGCAAATGGATGCTGTGGCCCAACCCAACCCTGGCTGCCACACACTCAGCCTTCACATTCACCAGTGGGAACTGCAGCTTAGTCTCAGCTGGCTATTGGGACAGCTCCACTAAGGCTATCTCCAACCCAGCCCGGGTTCCTATGCTTGCCAGTATATGTAGTAGACTGGCCTAGTCTGTCCCTCATATTCAGCTCTTGTATACATCAATGGGCATTGAAACAGCTCAACACAACTGACCCCACTATCCAGCCCACACACATGCCAGCGGGTACTACTACCTGTCCAGCCAGATCTTCCCCCAGCCCTGATTCTCATATTCATCAGCAGGAGCTGCAGCCCATCAGAGAGTGCCTACAGTTTCCCTAACAGGCCCACTCCCAGACCCAGATCTTACACTCTCCAGGTGTTTCTACAGTCCCTTGATTGACAAGATTTGCCCCTAGTCCCAGCACTTGGAAGCTTTAACTATGGAATATTTGACCAATTAATATATAATTCATCTGTCATTTGATGACTCTGTCCTCAGTTGTATTGTGGTTTCTGTTCAACAGTTGGTGTTTTTTCCCTATTGCATATGAGTAGCACTTCTTTTCTTGTGATGCTGCTCTGCTGGCTGTCTTATATTCCAGTTAAGTGACTGACTAAAAGTTGCATTCCACCTATTCACATCAGTCCCTCCTTTTTGTCCCTCTTGTTCATACAAGTTTGATAAATAGTCGAAGTGACTAGTCATTTGTACTGAGGGGGAACTTTTTGAACTTTTTCCTTTCAATCTATAGAACTTCAGTGTTCAAAAAAGTCAATTAAAATGCTTCATTGATTGTGGGTGCTTTTGTACTGAATTTCTGCCAGGAACCTTGTGAGTGGATTTTCGTAGTTGTAAGGTCCCGGTGATAAAGAAGCCCGTGATGTTTTGAATGTTAGGACATTTACGATTTACCTTTGTGTCTTGTTCTGGTGAATGTGCTGATCTGGCATTCAGCTCCATGTAGAGCCTACATGGTTCATCTACATAAAACTGAGCTTCAGGGAGGTGTAAGCTTTATTATTTTTAATAGGATGCCTGTTTCATTTATGTAGAATCACTGGTGAACTCAGACTGACTTAATACTGTGCCATTTGGTGATTCTCACAGTAGTGAAAAACTTCTTCTAATACCAGAAATTCTTCTAGGATGCCATTGTGGCCATTTGCAATGTGAAAAGCAGGAAAAAGACTAATTTCTCTGTCTTTTTTCTGGAGCTCTGCCTTTCAAATAAAAATAAGTAAATCTTTTTAAAATGTATTCCAGAAAAATAATGAACAGATTTCAAAAAACTTTTTGTAGCAAATTAAACTTGTCTTGTAATTACATATTTTATAATTTCTGAGGGACCTTAATAATATCTTAGAACTTTTATACCCAAGTTTTAAGAAAATGTTGTGAATATGCTTTTTCCAAGAATCTGTTTCTCAATATGCATTAAGTAAAATATATATCATTACATGAACAAGTATGCTTAGAACTGCTATGTTGATTTTAAACTAGCCAAATTAATAAATAACTGGTTGACTATGAATTCACAAAATTTATTCATCTGTGACAGTATTTTCTGTGATGCTCCAGATACATCAAATCTAGATGTATTTAACATGAGTGGAACTTTCTGCTATTCTTTTTTTAAGATTTATTTCCTTTTCATTACAAAGTCAGATATACAGAGAGGAGGAGAGAGAGGAAGATCTTGTGTCCGATGATTCACTCCCAAAGTGATTGCAATGGCCGGTGCTGTGCCAAACCGAAACCAGGAGCCAGGAGTCAGGAACTTCCTCCAGGTCTCCCATGCGGGTGCAGCATCCCAAGGCTTTCAGCCATCCTCAACTGCTTTCCCAGGCCACAAGCAGGGATGGGAAGTGGAGCTGCCGGGATTAGAACCAGTGTCCTTATGGGATCCTGGTATATTCAAGGCAAGGATTTTAGCCACTAGGCCATGCTGCCAGGCCCACTTTCTGCTATTTTAATGTTCTTTCACAGCTTTCTGTGGAATTTTATAAACTATATTCATTTCTGTAGGGATTTTTTTTGCTACTCATTTTTGTGTGTGTGTGAATTACAGTTGTATAAGTTGCTTTTCCATTTCTGTTGTTGTAGAAGGCTTGCTCTGATGACTTTGCTTTTATTCAAAGCTCAGTATTATGATCTACATTATTAAAAAGCCTAATATGAAAGTTTTTGCAAAAATGCTGTTTTGCTTCGATTAGCTGAGTGCTTTTTTTTTTTAATAGATGCAGACAAGAAATTCAGCAGTATTTATTTTGCTTATGTACTGTTAAAATTGAGTGACAAATTCTTGTTTGGATCTAACAACGTATAGGGCTTTTGGTTTTGATGTAGAGTGATGTTTAATTCTGCATTTTAATTTTTTTGAAGAATGTTTAGTGCTGATTGAGAGTATGTTAATTCTGTGTATTTTTGGTGCTATTTCAGTTACAAATAGCTTGTAGTTCTAGAAGAATGGTACATCTTTAAAACGTAGATTTAAGCTTTTAGTAATTTAGCTTTTAAAAAGTGAGGAAATTCGATAGCCTTCTTTGCTGGTAACTGCCTCATAGACCTTTCACAGATCCTTGTTTGGGAGATTCATTCCCCCTTAGTCATATTATGTAACTACTTGTATATAATTGCTTATTCAGAAATCCTTTTTGCCTACCCTTTTGTTAATTCTTACCCTCCTCTTCTCCCATATAGAACTAGGAATAGTGTTGAAAGGCAGTATCAGTGATTCATGCAGCTGAAATGACAGTTTCCATCCATTGATATATGTGGGTTTTTTCCCTTGAAAGATTTCTTTCTCTATTATTTTAAGGACAGAGTTAGCAGGGAAGAAGGAGAGAAAAAAATCTTCTGTCTGCTGGTTTACTCCTCACAGGGCCACAGTGGCCAGGACTTGGGTCAGGGCTGGGTCTGCCATCCACATGGGAGAGCCACTTGGGAGTTCCTGGCTGCTGGCATCTTTCTGGCTTAGCCCTGTCTGTCAGAAGTACTTGAGGAATGAACTAGTGGATGAAAGAAGTCTCTCTCTCTCATGCATACTCTGTCAGTAAACCTTTCAAACAGTCCATGTTTAAAAAAGAGATTATGGAAAAAGCGTGTTATAAAAAGCTGTGCATGGATGTCAAAATATTTTCCACCAAAACCGGCTTACCTTTTAATTCCTTTTTCCATGAACTTTTTGAAGGATTGTTCCAAAACACAGTCAAAACTGAAAAAAGCAGTCACATCCTAGGGGACTTCAGATGCCACAGGCATGCGTGTTGGATTTGAATATCCATTAAGAAGCCCAAGCTTAGAAAAGGAAACTTCTGGACAAAGCTTTGCTTTTCAGAGTTGAGTATCCGATTGTTCCAATTTTTGGACTTTTATGTATTAAGCAATATCTCCTGAAAGGTTTTGATCTTTTCATGCCTCATAGACCCCAAATTAATCTTAGATGCCAGGAAACTATAGTGTACAATAGATAAGCTTTAGAAAAGTAAATTGACTTGGGGTTAAATTTCTGTTCTGTTTAGTAGATAAATAAATTTAAGCTAGTTAACTTCATTGCATTTTATTTCCTTCCCTTGAAATAAAAATAAAACACAGTAAATCCTGTTTTTGTGATTTTGCTTATTTGCTAAAAGTTTTTCATAATCCACCAAATCAATATTGAACCTTTTGTAGACATGCACAAGTTGCAAACAATGTGTGCTCCCAGCTGAGGTAAAATTAGGTGGCACTCTGCATTCCTTTTCAGCTCGTACTGTAAGAAGTGCAAAGGACATGTGAGAGCCATATCTTGTGTTTTTGTTGGTTATTTCACTGTTTGAAATGACCTCTGAATGTCTACACTCCTGAGCTCAAAAGACTGTGAGGTGGCTTTTGGAGAGAATACTTCTGTCTCTGGAGTTTTGTTAAGGCCCAAGTCTCTGTGCTGTTGCCCCTTAATTCAATGCCAATGAGTCAGAAGTAAAAATAAAGTGTCTTTAAACAGAAACATTTATTTATTTAATAAAAACGGGGTGGGGAGGCGCAGTATGGACAAGTTGAGAAAATGTGAGGAACACAGGAGCCTCACCTTGCAGCTAGTTCCCCTCGGAGCAGTGAGTCAGTGTTGCTGGAAAGATACAACTACATGTGATCTAAATAGTAGCTGCTGTTGTAATAATTTTCAGGAAATTATTTTCTTAGAATAAATAATTATATCCTTTATTATTTAATGAAAAGGTGAAAAGGAAATAGAATATTTTGCTTTAAAGAGTTTTCTCTTGTTTCTCTAACCAAAAAGTACTGTTGTGTGGTTTTGGGATTGGTTTTCCAGACTTTAAAAATGCTTTCCTTTTAAATTCCTTTGTTTAGTTTTGTGATAATGAATAGTGTTACATATTTTTTTAAAATTTCATCGTGTGTGTGTGAGACGACCTAGTCCATTCCCAGGGTTGTTACTCTTCACAAGGTTAATCATCTAGACTGCATGAACAGAAGCCGACTCTGGAAACCATGGATTTTCTCTAGTTTGATTATAACTCTGACCTTTGTTCCCTAATTGACTCTGTAACAGAAATTCAAGTCTTTCAAGTTCTTTCAATTTCAGGACAAAAATAGGGAGTTTCCATTGCCATCATGTATTGAAATTTAAAGCTAGTAGTGTCTTGAATATCTGTAAACATAAGTACAAATGAACTTAAGTTTGAATATTCTGATGTAGTTTCATTGGTTTAAAATAAAGTTTCAGAAATTCATCTAAAATTAAACAGATTTTTAAGAATTAAGCATGTAGATAAAATTTTCTAAATTAATATTAGGAACACAAATAATTTTTGATTCCCCATTTTGAGTGTAGAGATGTTAACCCCTGTTGTATGAAGTTTGTGTTCAATAAGTGTGGCATAGGGAGAGCACCGTTGTGAAGCTTACTTCATGTTTTTGCACATCCTTACATTCTTTTCTACTAAATTCAGTGATTCCAAATATTTTTAAAATGTGTTTGTAGAACACAATAAATAAAATGCATTTAATAAATAGAGCTGAAACACGTTGTTTTCTTTAGAAGATGCCAGCTTTTCCAAATTTCTCTCACTCATTCTGCAGATTGACTCATATATTGAACTTTTATTATGCCGTTAGTTTGGGGTAATAGGGAAGAAAGTTTTAAAATGATTAGCTTATAAAATATGTTCCTAAAGCTTACTGTTAGTCTGAACTAGTATAGAGTTCCCTCCTCTTACTGATCTGCTCTTTCTTTTACATATTTATTGGTCAGGGCACCCCTTCTTAATCATACAAAATGAATCGGTTTCCATCAGGTACTGTCTTGGGATGTTCTTGTGTTTGTGGCAGAATGCCTGCTTGTTCAGTTCATAGAAAGAAGCCTTTCTACAGGGCAGCCAGTGATTGAGTTGTTGTCCTAAGGTTGAGTTAAGTAGGGAAGAGTTGGACAGAATTTTATCACTGGAATTTTTCAACAGTTTTCCAAAATACAAAGTGTCCACAACAGCCAGATTCAAGCTGGAATTGAAGTCAGGAGTACAAAGTTCATTTCAGGTCTCTTACACGGATGGTAGAAACCCAGTTCTCCAATGTAAAATACAAGCACCTTAACCACTAACTAGGCTTGCAATTCTTAAACACTGGATCCTTAGTTAATTTTATGGAAACTTTTGCTTTGTGCTAAGGATGCTAGACAATAAGTGAAGATACCAGTAATATTTTTCCAACTTTGCTGCTTACCTTTGCTGTTAAACTTGTGTTCATTGAAAAAATGAACTAAATGCTTAAGAACATGTAAATGAGTAGTATATAGTTGCTAGTCTCATGGGATTTTCTCAGTGATTAAAATGATGTGTTTGAACAACATAACTTCATGAAATGCATAATAATCTGTTGTTAGTAGAATAGACAAAATTGACCATACTGAATGATTATGTTGAGTTTCTATAATGCTTCTTGGCATTTGTCTGCAGAAGTCCCTATGAATCAGGGGCTATTGTTCTCCTTTTTTATTTTTCAATAAGAAAGGAATCTAAAGCTTAATTTTTTCAAAGTAATTGGGATGGTTTAGTGATATATAAAATGAAAACAAGCCTTAGAAGTGTTGGTGACCACTTGGTTAAATTGACTGTCCCCCTCTCCATGATTGGGCCCGAGTGTTTGTGAAGCCTCGCATCATTTCTAGAGTATAGCTGGACATCAGACAGTTGGTGCTAGCTGCTGACTAATGGTTCTTCATAGAGCTTCCTTGCCCAGAAACAAGTTAGTGAAATGTCTCTAAAACAATGTCAAACTGAGTTATCTCTATTACTATTTGTTTTTAACCCAGAACCATGGAACATTTATCCAAATGTCCATTTTCCTTTAAAGCCCATCTGAGTCATCTCCAGGCTAGCAACTTCAGTGTGTACCTCTGAAGTCCTAAATATGTCACAGGCTCTGCCTACTGTTTTTCTGATGATTACTGTTGAGTCCATGTTATGTGGCTGGCTGAACTAGGTGTTTTTGCACTAAAGCACTCTACTAATGTCAGATCATTTCTAGTCTAATAGGCATTTTGATGTGACTTGTCAAAATGAACAATGCAGGTGGTAAGTGTGCAGTTCAGGTTATTGTAGACTGGGCTGAATGATAAACTTGATATTCACCTTAATTTGGGTAATTGCTGTTAAGTACAAATGTAGACTTTTATTCCTGTATTTGAAAGTGTATGATTTAAATTTTCCAGAAGGAGATTACAATTAGTTAATGTTCAGCACCAACTCCAATTACTTAGTGCCCTGAATGATATCTTATATGTTCCGTAAATGGAAAACCAATTTTATTATAGTTTGTTTTGGCATAAGTAAGGTTTCAGTTTCTTTTCAGAATAAAACTTATAGCAACCATGAAAAAGAAAAACCACTTAGGTAAATTGCTTAATTTTAGTGAAAGAGAAATAATGCTCATTTGATACTTATTTTGTATTTCTTTTTTTCTTTTTTCTGGCCAGGGGTAAAAGCCTGTCTGCAAAATAAAACTTGTGAGCAGGAAGAAAAGTATGAAGTTCCTGATGGGCCACAAAGAAGTAGACTTAACCAAGAACAACTGGTATTTTTGTTTTGACAGTTTTCATTGTTGATATTATGACAATTTTATTATCATCAGGAAAAATCTCTGCCCCTTCAACAAGTACATGTGATAGATTACATTTTTATTTAGACTATTTCAAGTACTTGGTTCAAAGAGATCATGCTGTGAGCAGTAAAATCCAAAAGGCAATAATTTGATATTATTAATGGGTTTTTGGCATCTTGACATTCTAATAAACCTTTGGGAATCTGAGGTAAATCCTACATATAGGAAGTAGCCTGAATAAAGACTTCAGTACTACTCAGATTTAGCTAATGTGTCTTTATTGCCATATGGTGCATTTTTTTAATAGATAGTACTCAGTTATTCTGTTAATATGTGTATCATAAGTAACAAAAAAACTCATGGACAGAACTGGTGGCAGAAGCACATTTCATAACCAGTTGGATCCCCAGCTGTAGCTTTCTAGTCTGCGGTGCTCTGGCACTTTCCTCTCTGGATGCCTGGAGGCTCCCCTCTCACTATATCTACCACACAGATGAATATGGATGGGCAGAAGTGAACAAGGGCCTGTGAAAATGGTAGCACTTTGTGATTTAATGGAGTTTTGCCTAGTGTCCCTCAACTGTGCTTCAGATATCCTAGAATTCTTGGGACCATATGTACTCCCTACCACCTAATGCATACAAACCCGAAAAAGGAAGTTTGTTACTCCAGATCATTCCTACAATTTTAGGAAGCTAAAGAAGCCATAAAAAAATTATAAATATGGCTAGGAACCCTTTGAATATTTTTCTTTGTTTAATTTGTTTGAAGTACAGTTTTTCTCAATACCCCATAACAGTTCAAAACCATTGCTTTTATTTCTTTGGTTCATTGTCAGTGATTTTGTATATTTGTATCCACTTTAACATTGTTTTCCCCTGATTGCAGTTACCAAAACTGTTTGATGGATGCTACTTCTATTTTGGAGGAACCTTCAAACGCCTTCCAAAGGACAACCTTATTAAGCTTGTCACTGCAGCAGGGGGGCAGATTCTCAGTAGGAGACCCAAGCCAGACAGCGATGTGACGCAGACCATCAACACCATTGCTTACCATGCCCAGCCTGATTCTGATCAGCGCTTCTGCACGCAGTACATCATCTATGAAGACGCCTCTAATTATCGCCCGGAAAGGATCCGGCAAGGCAAAGTCTGGATGGCTCCATCCAGCTGGTTTATAGACTGTGTGATGTCCTTTGAGCTGCTTCCTGTTGACAGCTCTGACACGGCATGAGTGTTTGAAGTTGAACTTGGGCAGTTTGTGAGAACCCAACCGTTGACCATTCATATTTTTATAAATAGGTAGAAGCATTCAAATTTTCTTTGAGTTAAAAATAAATTTCTCCAACACCAGATTAGAAATTTACTCTGTTTATAGATTTGATGCTAAAAATGCTGTAATGCATTTTTCTTTTCAGAACTGGCAAATGATTTTTGATTCATCATGTTTATCCACGTTATCAGCTAAGTTTAATGAGCTGTGGTTTAGTATAAAAGTGGTTGTGCTACTGCTTTGGCTTTTTGCTATGATCTAATCAAAAGTCACATTTGCCTTCTGCAAAGATGCTTGCCATTCTTTAGTAAGTCGACAAGGCTTCCACATATTCCCTGGCTTTATTGTAATGAAGAGTTTCAGAGCTGAATGTGTGCCAGAGCTCTTTGTCCTGTTGTGTTTCTTACAGTTCTGTAGTGTCTGTTCCTTCATTTTAGTTTGTTCTTTTTATTTTGTGTTTTCATGGGGGAATCAAAATTTGAACCTTAATACTGTTTATTGCTGCTGAAAAATCTACATGGATCTTATTGTATACATTTTCTTATTAGCTATCAATTTATATATTTCCTGTGGACACATACGTACTTCATACGAGGTCTCACAGTCATACAACAGTAGGTAGGACGTAACTACCAATAGCAAAATATTCAAGACCTCAAGGTAATAGGTAGAATATCAAGTGAAAATGGAAAGATCTCTCTGGTCTGAGTATTCTCATCTTGATTTAATAATAGATTAGATGATTTTGAGACATTTTTAAAGAAGCAGATTATTTTAATGAAATCTTTCGTAGAAACTGAGTGTCAGCACAATATTCAAGATATGAGGAAACACATTGTAAGACTTGGCAGCCACAGAGGACAGTTGACATTGAAATTGGAATAGAATATCCCTGATGTTACAATATCAAGGAAGTTTAAGATTCTGATGACTCTTTAAAAATACATTTTACTTGAATTCTTTCCTTGATATACTACTTTTCCATATCAAGAAATATATTATGTGAACAAAATGATACATATCTGACCCTGAACTTTCAGGGTGATTGAGCTCTGAACCTGGAGATGTGCTTGTCCCACACTTCTTCTGATGGAGATGGGTAAAAACTGTAGTGCCAAGCAAATCAGATTAAACAATTCCGGACTGGGACAGTGGTAGTCCTTTGTATAGTATCAGTCACTTTCGGTTATCTCACAGGTCACATTCCTAGAGACTTGTGTTTGTTACTATCATTTGAATCCCTATTTGTAAAAATGCATTTGGGATTTCCTGCATATTTTCTTGGTTTAATGCTCTCTTTTGTGCTCCGTCTTCCAACCCCCACTATTAAGCAGAATAATTTTTGGTTTCTGGAAATATTTTTTGGTAGTAGTTGATTTATGTTAAGCTGTTAAAACAAGTTTGTACTTCCTGTGCACATACCCTTGTAGATATTTCATTTCAGTCGTACTTACCCTTTCACTTAACATAAATAAAGTCATATTTCCATGTGTATGTTTCTTCTATAAAAATGATTTAACCCTGTATTACTTAAGAATGAAGTTGAACCTAACTTGTGAAAAATCTATCAACAAATAAAACCTGACCTCCTAATATTAACTTTTACATTAATTTTGAACAGAAATACTTATAAGATAGTGTATTATCTTAAGTTCTTTTGCGTGTATGTGACTTTGATAGTTTGAAATCATATTTAAGGAGCACAGTGATTCTATCCTGTTTTTGTTAAAGTCAGAAGTTTTATGCAGAGAGGCAGAGGTGAGAGGGAAGTAAGATCATCCATTCAGTGATTCACCCCTCTGTTGGCTGCAGCAGCTGCAGCCGGGGAAGCCAAAGCCAGGATTCAGGAGCTCAGAATCCATTGTGATGTCCCGTTTGAGCGACAGAGGTCCCAGTGCTTGGTGGCCTCCCACTGTCTTCTGTGCATTAGCGGGAGCTGCAGCTGAAACTGAGCAGTCACGTATTGAACTAGTGGGGTACCAGTGTAGCAAGCAGCAGCTTGGCCTACACCACAGGCCAGCCTCAGATTTAAGCTTTGACCAACATGGGCATCTTTTAGCTCCTTTTAATGGACTCTTGTATCTGACAGGCTGATTAGTTGTCAGCACTTGCAGCTTTCTTCTTTTTCCCTTTTTCCCCTTAACAGTTACTAATTTGTAGATAGTTATCTCTTTTACCACATTTAATTACTTGTTTTTCTCTTAATTGCTGAAAAATGGAAACTAGATAGGAAAATGGAATTTTGAATAAAATTAGGAAAAATGTGTAGTGAGTGAGAACTTTAGTGAGTAGAACTTGGTCTTTATCTCATTTGTCTCAGTCTCAAGTTGAACCTGTTCTGTGAACCTGATAGGTGATGTCTGCAGAGAGCAGGTTTGTGAGGCCCAGTGTTTGCCTGGAATGAGCAAATCCAGGGATGGGGAAGACACAGAAGCAGCTGCTGCCTCTCGCGTTAGTATAGAAGATGGGTCAGTGTGTTCTAAAGGCTTGTCATCCTTGTGGTAATTCAAATGCATTTTTTTATTTTAAAATTTTAATTGTTTAATAGATTTAATGTGATTTGTAGATTCAATTTTAAAAGCACAGTGACATTCCGTTGTTTCTGCTTTTTGCTTACTCCCATCCTCTCCATATTTCCCTATATCTCCCTTTCTTTTTTCTTAGCTTTTGAAATACATGTTTTAGGTCAACGCTACAGTAAAAGTCTTAATATTTTACCCAATAAAGTATTTAGCAAGTAAAAAACCAAAATACCTTAGTTTAATGGGAATATAAACAATGATGTTAAAAAACAATTCAATACAAAAATCATTTCACCCTGCACATTAAATTATAAAGTTATCACAATCATTAAAGCCATAGTATTATAACATTCTTAGGTATTGGTTTGATAATGGTATAAAACAAAAGTTTGCAAAACCGTATTTGCTGGCATACTGATAAATTCCTTTGTTTTTTTAAAGCATTGGTCTCACAAGGGAGAACATGCAGTATTTGTCTTTCTGGATCTGACTTATTTCATTCAACATGACATCCTCTGGTTGAATCCATTTTGCTGCAAATGGTAGAGTATTATTTTTTTTGTAGCTGAATAATATTTCCCTGTGTATATATACCAGTTTCTTCATTTATCTACTGATGGACACCTTAGTTGATTTCAAATTTTGGCTATTGTAAACAGTGCTTCTATAAACATAGTAGTTTATTGTGTATTGGGCTTGTTGTGCTCAAATTTTATGGGCAATAACCCAGGTAGGATTGCTGGATCTTATGACATATCTATTTATAGTTTTGGACCATGTTTTCCACAGTGGCTGAACTAATTTACATTGCACTAACAGTGTATAAATGTTCCCTTTTTTCCTTATCCTTTCAAGCATCTATTACCCTCTATGTTGTGGATTTTAGCTATTCTGACAAAGACGGAATTTCGTTGTCTTAGATTTGTATTACCTAGATGACCGGTGATGTTGAGCATTTGATTTATACAGGTGTGAGCCGTTTGTTACTTTTCTTTATTATTTTTTTAAGATTTATTTTTATTGCAAAGTCAGATTTTATATACAGAGAGAAAGACCTTCAGTCCCATGATGACCCAAGTGATGTCAGTGGCCGGTGCTGCACTGATCAGGAGCCAGGAGCTCTTCCAGGTCTCCCACATGTGAGTGCAGGGTCCCAAGGCTTTGGGCCATCCTCAACTGCTTTCCCAGGCCACTAGCAGGGAGCTGGATGGGAAGCAGGGCTGCTGGGACTAGAACCAGCACCCATATGGGATCCCAGCACGCTCAAGGCGAGGATCTTAGCCGCCAGACCACGGTGCCGGGTCCTTGTTGTTTTTCTTTTGAGAACTGTGTTGAAATCCTTTGTTAATTTCTTAACTGGATTGGTCATTTTTTTTTTCTGAGTTAAGTATATCCAGGATATTAATCCTTTGTAGATGGATGTTTGCCAGTATATTTTTCTTCTCACTAGTGGAATGTCTCTTCACTCTGTTGATCATTTCCATTGCTGTGTAAAAATCCTTCTGAGTTTGATGGTCCTATTTGTTTAGTGTATGGTTAGTGTTAAAAAGGGGTTAATTGTGTTCTAAAAGTGCATGGACTTTGTAGTCCAAGTGTGTATTTGTTCCCTAAGCAGAACATGTTAAAAGTTACTTGATAACAAAAAGCAGCTATTTTGTTTGGAGGTGGATTTACTACAAATTGTAAAATTCATGTATGGCTTGGTCAACCTTTTTCAACAATATATGTATCAAAGTGCTTAATAAATGAAGACTAAGCAGTTATACTGTTGAGGATTCTATTGTTTTTTTTTTTTTTCTAGTCAATTAGTAGGCATTACTATGTACTCTTTTAAATTCGGGATTGTTGATTACTCGTGAAATGTTTTCAAAAATTTTACTTTTTAGAAAGGTAAATTTACAGAGAGGGAAAAAAATAGAGAAAGAGATCTGTCTGCTGGTCCACTCCCCAGATAGCTGCAATGGCTGGAGCTGGAGCCATTAGGAGCTAAGAGTTTCTGCTTGGCCTTCTAAGTGTGTGCAAGCCAAAGCACTTGGGTCATCCTCCGCTGCTTTCCTCAGCTGTAAGCAGGGAGACGGAATTGAAAGTAGAACAGCCAAGACTTTAACAAGTGCTCCTATGGGATGCTGGCACTACAAGCACAAACTTAACCTCGCGCTGCACAGGGCCAGCCCTGTTTGTATACTTTTGTAAAGTAAGACACAAAGCATGCTTTTGATAACTCAATTTCTGGTAAAATGTTAATGTGGAAATCAAAAAAGCTCTGTGCTGCTCTGCCTTTGTCCTTTCTTAAAGGGTTTGTGATGAACCTCCATGAGGCAGATGTATGCATCTGCAAAGTTGAAGTCACACTTGGGCTACTTTTACAGCCCTACACTAGCTTGTCTAACCTGTTTCTTCATTTCTACAGTGAGAGGAACACTGTCCTCTCCTATGGGTATAAGGGTGTACAAGTTGCTGAGTATACCATGGGCACTCACAGGATCAGCTCCTAAGCCCACTGGAAGCAGAATGCTTCGAAGGTGTCCTAAATAAGAGCCTGGAAAGGTGGCTCTTGTTGTACAGCTAATCTCAGTGCTGAGTAGTCCTGTCATCTGTCTTCCTGACACCCCCTCCTACCCA